TCAAAAACCCATAAACCCTAAACCCCAAAACCCTAATCTCAAAGCCCTGCTCTTCCGGCCGGGCCCCAGCCTGCAAAGTTCTCTCTCGTGCGCCATTCCTCACGCAAAGGAGACGATTGAGAAATCCTAGAAGCCCAGTCGACTAATGTAGGGGCCATAATCATTGAAATTTGAATAGGGTTTTGGGGCACATCATACTATGATTCTCGGAAGGAAGACCAAAAACCTATTCTAATTGTTCAGGCCCTTATACTATGCTATGCAGTTGAGCACCGTCCCTATCGAGCTATCAAGCACGATGTTACAGCCCTGAACCCGAAGTCTTCCAAGCCATGATACAAGTAGCTAGTCTTGTGCCTGCAAACATGTCAGCAGCCTCAAGAATTACTCAAAAGCCCGGAAACCCTGACTTCAGTGGTTTATGGGTCTGGCTGGGAAGCTACGAGAACGGCGACGTCCCGAGAGAGTGTCATGCACAATCTCGGGGTAGCCATCGATTCCAATGACCTTACTCCTGTGTTCTTGAACGTCGGCAAGGGTCTTTGTGGTTTACGTGTTCTGGGATTTGGGGTAGAAGAACCCCCGAGTACAAGTTCCGAGAACACATGGGACCCTCTCATACACGGGACCATTCAGCAAGTTGGTTTGCATCTGTGCGTCGCCGATCTCACTAGCTTAGGGCTTCTCTCGTCGACAACCGGCAACAGCCTACTTGTAGCTTAAACTTCCTACTCTAAGCTGCCCAACAAACACGAGCCGAACATCTATCAACTTCAGAATGCGGCGTTGCAAAGAAGTCGGTGCTTGAGTTTGTGCTTGTGTGTGCTGCACATGCAAACGACATTGAAACATTGATGCTTATGTGCCTAGACTCAGGGTCCATGTGCTCCTCATAAACTTACACCGTAGCCTTAAGTTAGTCAGGTAGTCCCTATATAACTATATAGGTACTTTAGGATCAAAGTACATACTGCTTGGGCACATGGATCCTCACGGGCTGCTAATGCGCCTGTTTTACCAGTAGTTCTGTTTTTGCCAACAGCTTGCGGGCCGAAAAGCCACTAAGCCGAAAAGAACAAAATCAATGCAAGGTGGTTAAGGGGCCAGGGTTTAAGAACGTGAGCGACAAACTTTAAACATTCAAGCAACTACTAACACCCTAAGAACCTTCTTTCAGAAAGTCCTCGAATCGGCAAAGCCCTTGCCCCCAAAGCCCTCAGAAGTCTAAGCTCTGTGTCATCCCAAACCTCAACAGCCCGAAGCATGGGCTTGCGCGTCCTTAGCACCTGCAAGAACATTGGTGTCCAATAATCGCGCTGAGTTATGGTTTGGGTGCCCAAAAAGGCCCAGAAGTCCTAAACAAGAAGGAGTACTCGGACCCATAGGGTTTTAGTACACTGAGACTCAAGCATAGTTCGTAAGAACACTGAAACCCTAAACCCCAGACCCACTGAAGTAGGCACAGGGGTCCGTAGCAAGCGCTGGCCACCGTCAGTTCGAGGCTTAGCGTCGCCTCGTCAATCAAAACCTCGGAGAAGATCGCACCAGGGCCCTCTTTGTACCCTTTAAACATGGGTAAATTTAATGAAAGTGAAACCTAAAAGTAGGGATTTCGGGTCTAGTAAAGGTTATAGATGAAGGGAAGGGTCTAGGTAGGTTGTTGTCGTTGTTCCTCGTTCTCCAGGTGGATGTGTTCTTCTGCTAGCGGCTTGGCAAAGCGCCAAGTCATACTTGCAGACTGTAGACTGTAAACATGCAGCAACCAACGCGGACCCTGCTTTCCTGCAACTAGGGCTATCGCAGACGTCTGCTTGTCCTTACAATGTGGTGTTTCCATCAGGGTCCTGAACCCTAGACCCTATACCCCAAACCCTATAAACCCTGAACTAAACCCCTACAGAGACACCGTAAAACGCCCTGGTGAAACATGGAATCCTGAGGGTCATAACCCCAATGAACGCTTTGTCAGGGTACCTGGTTACGTGACGTACACGGCTTAGGGCTTAGGGTCTACCTGTAGCCGAAAAAACCTTCCTTTTCAGGGTTCCTTATTCGAGTCTATATATATATATATATATATATATATATACTTCCCTAAAATGGTAGGTTTTTTGGGCTACAGGTAGGGTCAAGTTATGTGGTCAGGATCTGTTGTAGTGCAAAAGTCCCTGAAAGGCAAGCCCAACAGGCCCTGTGAAGTGCAGGTTACGCATTAGGGTTTAGGGGTTCATGAGGGGGTTTACGGGGTTTAGAGGGTCGAGAGGTTTGGGGGTTGAGGGTTTAGGGGTCAAGCATTGTGCTTGAATCGAACATGGCGCAGTTTCGGTTTCCAGGTTGGTTTATGAACCCTACTTGGAGGTTCATGGGTAGTTATAACTAGGGTTGTAAGTAGAGTAACTAAACGTATAAGCCTATTTAGGGGACCTGCTGGACATGATTTGGACTGCCTCGTCCGAACTTGAAACAGCACCGGGCGACCAAAGTGAAACAACTGTAACTTCACTTCGCAGGGTCTAGGACAGGACAAGGACAAGCCTTCCGCACGCAGGTAGCCTGCCGGGGTGTAGATGCAGTCCCCAGGGTCGAGCACTGCAACAGTGACGTCTGCCCCATGTCTGTTGAGCTCTGCCGCACTGGTGTTTACCATGAAGCCGCACAGGTCCGAGAGGGTTGGAGGAGTCCCACTCTGACCCGTGGAGCTGTAGGCATGCACCAGCTTTGGCAGCGGTGCCAAGCTGACGTAATAGTGTCCGGATAGGCACACAGTGAGGTCGGGCATCAGCCCGTCGGGGACGCCCTGGAAGACATAGTCATCCCGGACCGCGGCAATCATGGCACGCCACACGGCGTCGCCCCTCTTAGTCCGGTGCGCAGGCTCTTTGAGGTATGCTTGCTGGCCCCACCCAACCTGTAGCATGGATCATGGCATCAGGCACACAGGGAAACACCACAACGTCACCGGACATGTCTCAAAGTTCAGAGCATACGACACGACACAACAGTCAATGCATCAACACTTCAACACGTCGAATCAAAAGGCAAAGCACAACCGCATGCTTGGCAAATTGCGAGCCTGCTCCGCATCCTTCTGCCCAATACTGGGAAGGAGTTCCGTGAAGTCGGGGAGCTTCACGATGTTGAAGGATGCCCCCTGCGGCTGCGACGTGTCCAGGCGGAGTTCCGCCAGGTCCTGCTCGGGGACACTGAAACGATATACAGCTTCCCCGTCGATGACGCAGTCGGCACCCTCTTTGAAATCGATGGGGTTAAGCGCACCTTTGTCACCCTCCGCATACAGCACCCAAGCATTCACCCCGGCAATGGGCTTGCCATTGTCAATGGGGGCTGCAAGTGCTTTCGCAGCAGCCAGGCTTTTGGCCTTGGCTCTTTTCTCCTCTGCTGCTTTGTCACGGATTTCTTTATCCCTGATCTTCTTGGCCTGCCGTGCGACCCCTCCCTCGGCTTTCTTCAACGCTTTCAGGCGGGATTCACAGTCCTTTTCCCACCACTTGAGTGCCTGAGTCCCACCTTGGGTCCCATCCGGATCCTCCTTCAAGTTGAAGGCAGCGTGTGCCATAGCCGCCCTCCGTGGACTCATTTCCCTGACACGATCCGCAACTGCCGCATTCAGTGTCTCAAGGCCTGTGTTGCGCTCCAGCCGCGGAATGCATTCCTCCCTGCGTGAGGGAGGAAGCATGGAGGCCAGCCCAACGAAGATGTTGAGCAGGTCAGTGGCTATCACGCCATGTATACGCAGCCTGCACGAGTGCTGATCTGCGATCCACATCGCTCAGCGTGGCGAGCCTCGCCTCGTCGGCCTCCATGCTCTCGACGTCGAGCTTGAGCATCGCCGACGAGTCGTCGGCTGGCGGTGCTGCCTGCCTGCCTGCGCCAGCTGGCGGTGCAGGCGTGGCAGGCATGGCCTCCTCAGCCACTGCATGCTCAGCCGCCGACGCCGGCGGTGCCTGCGCCGCCAGCGGTGTCTGCGCGGCAGTCTCCGCATCCTCGCTGGGCGCGTGCTCTGCACGCAGGCGAGCGGCAGCATGTATGCCTGCGGTGTCTTCGTGTGTGTGCCGCACGGACTGCTGCATCTGCAGCGCATCGCTGAGCAGCATGCCAATCATCGCGTCCTTCGTGAGCATCTTCGTCGCCAGCTGGCCTGCCGCAGTCGTCAACTCGCCGCTGGTGGTCAGCGTGCCAAGCTGCTGCTCGCAGGCCTTGATGCAGTGCTCCTGCAGCTGCGCATACAGATGGCACGAGTGGCTGGCCTCCTCAGCGAACTCTCTGACTCTGGCAGCATGATGGCTCACATGCTTCTCGAGGAGTGCATGCACAGAGTCCAGCGTGTGCTGCGCTCTGAGCTCGTTGGCAGCGAGCGTTGTGAGCATCGCGCAATGCAAGACTACGCAGGCTCTGCAGATGGATCTCCAAGTAAGCGCTAATTAACCCTATGTAATGTAGTTGCAAGGAGGGCAGACTAGACTCGACTTTCACACCCCTGGTCTTCCGAGACCCGAAGCCCTGTTGAAACCCAAGCCCTATACCCTACACCCCTAAATCCTACTTGGAGGTTCATGGGTAGTTATAACTGGGGTTATAAGTCCCCTAATAGGGGTTATGATTACAGTTTCCCTACTTATAACCGTACTTATAGCTACCCTAAACCCCAAATCCCTAAAAACCCTAAAACCCTAGACCCTAAAACCCTAAACCATACTCATAACTACCCATGAACCTCCAAGCAAAGCCTTAAACCCTCAGCAGCTGCAAAAGCTTTTGGGGCCTCTATGAGGTTCAGAGTTGTGTGGCCGTTTGGGGGTTCCCTAAACCCTAAACCCCTAAACCCTAAAACCCTAAACCCTGAACCCCTAAACCCTAAAACCCTAAACCCTAAACCCTAAACCCCTAAACCCTAAACCCTAAACCCTAATTGTCTCGGTTTCAGGAATTTTGCTCCGGGTCTTAGCGAAGTAGCGGTGTTCGGAAAGGGCGAGAAGGGAGAGAACACGATGATGGGCATCAGGATGACCAGAACCACCTGGAGACAAAGGCTTTAGGGTTTAGGGTTTAGGGTTTAGGGGAGTTCTTCCAACTCAGGTACTTGGAGGTTCATGGGTAGTTATAAATGGGGTTATAAGTCCACCAATATGGGTTATAAGTATGGTTACCCTACTTATGACCCTACTTATAACTGACCATGAACCTCCAAGTAGGGTTTAGGGGAGTTCTTCCAACTCAGGTATGAATACTGTAGGGGCCTGAATAATGACAATAGGGTTCTGGGGATTCCTGATTCTATTTGTAATAGAGTATACCCCCAGACGCTGCTAGTCTCTGCAAAAAAACGCCTTGGGAGTCCTAGCAGAAAGGGATCCTCGGATTGGGAGAACTCTATAGCTGCTATCGTGTTCTTGTAAGGCCCCGACATGGTTCCTATAAGGATTAGAATGTTGCTCCTAGGGTTTGGGGGTCGAGGGTCCTCTTTGCAGGTCCTGACCTACCTGGAGCCCTTGAACCCTAAACCCCGAAACCCCAAAACCCTGAACCCTAAGCATGTAGCTTTACATCCCCCAGCTCCCAGCCGAACATCTATCGGGGCTTGACGGTTCCACTTCTTCAAGCTATGTGGGGCGATAGCAACCTTCAAACTCTACTTAACCGTACAACTCGCGAACTCTAAGAATTTGTACACCTCATGTCAGCAGCAAACCCCCAAAACCCTGAACCCTGAACGCCACACCCTAAGACCCCCCGGACTGCAAACCCCCTTTCAGATCCTCTGAGCTTTCAGCGGTCGGGCACAACCGTACCATGAAGCCTATAGGGCTTTGGGTCTAGGGTTTCGTAAGCTTCTAACATCAAAAAGCCCTTCAAAGCGCCGAGGGAAGCAAGAACCCCTCCTTGCTTCACGTCTCCAGATGTGGGGATGAACAAGGGGCTTTCATAGTCGAACCAAAAAGGTCCGGGTTTAAGGCTTGAGGCGCTTGAGGGTTTTAGGGTTTAGGGTTTTTGGGGTTTCACGGTTTTAGGTTTAGGGTTTAGGGGTTTTGGGTTTAGGGCTTTAGGGCTTTAGGGTTTATGGTTTTAGGGCTTTAGGGTTTTACGGTTTAGGGTTTAGGGTGTTCTATTCGCAGAGTGTAAGCTTTGTGGGACATTAGGTCTCCAGGTTGAAGCTGCCAGGTTCACATGTTTAGGTACGGACAATCCTTACAACTGGGACATATCAACAATAAATCCCGTAAGCCCCAAACCCTAAACCCCTAAACCCCTGAAGCCATAAACCCCAAACCCTTAAACCCTAAACCCCAAACCCCCTGAAGCTCTAAACCCTATAAACCCCTAAGCCCTCAACCCTAAGCCTTGGACCCTAAACCTC